TTGGAGGCGCCCAAATAGCCCCTGGGGAAAAGCCCCCCACCCACAGCCCTCTGTGCTCGGGTGCTGGGGGAGGCACGACCTGCAGTCTCCTCTGCAGCTGCCAAGAAAGGGCAGGTCAGCAGCCTCCGAGGCAGCAGAAACAGACCGGGGCAAAACCACACTTGCCTTCGCCGTGGCTAATTGCCCAGGCCACGTTCTAGCACCAGGCTAAGCCACAAACCACTTCTCCTGCCTGGTACCCAAGCACTGCAGTAAACTTAAGCACCCCCCCAAAAGCCCCTCCAAATATGCAAAGGGGAATGAGGCCCAGGCGTTTGGCCCCAGCCAATGGACGCTGCAGCCGGGGCGGAGTCAGAAACCACAACGGTGGGGCTGACGCTGAAAGCTCCCCATCCAACGTGGCAGGGCTCACTGCACTCAGGCAGCTTCTGGCGCAGGGTGCTGTCTGTCTGGCCCTGCGTGATGCGAGAGCACCTACCCTGGTTCATTTGGTAACCCAGGGAAGCCTTTCCCACGCCCGCTGACCAGGCCTGAGCAAGGGACCAGGGAGGGAGGGTGTCTAGGCACCACTTGGCCAGGAGGATCTCAGCCCTGGGGGCAGCCCCAGCCCGAATAAGCAGCCCCACCAAGCAGCCGACGTGCTGGGCACCAGACCTGGGCCTTTGGGTGGAGCCTGCGAGTGCGATCCAGTTTCCCCGGAGGCAGTTCAACCAAGAGCTCCGGGAGGGGGCAATTAGACTCCTGGGCACTTGTGCCACAAGGCCCTCCTGCCACGGCGCTCTGGTCACTGGGCGCTCCAAGGCAGCTTAGAAAGGGAGGCCTCCAGAGGGAACCGGGACAGGTCTTGCCACTCCCGGGGCAGGGCCGCAATGAAACCAGGTTGCCCCTCGGAAGGCTGGGCGGGCGGGCAGGCGCAGAGCTCTCCGTTCAGTTGGGGTGCTGAGCCTCAAGGGGGACGCCCATGGGCCAAGAGCAGCCCCAGAATGAGCTTCGAGAGGCGCTGCACCCTGTGGGCCAGGGCCAGGGCCAGGGCCGGGGCCAGGGCCTCCCCCTCCGCGCCGCGACGCTCAGAGCTGC